GGAGGAGGTGGGAATGGGGGGTGGGCTGGAGGGAAGGTGAGGGGGCCCGGAGTGGGGAGAACAAGGGAATCCATGGCTGATATGTAGAACTGAATTGTATTGCAAAATAAAAATAAAAATTTAAAAAAAAAAAGAAAAGAAATTCAGGTTAGGAGTTAGTCATCTGTAATAATCTAACTTGTAGTCATTTTAGGTATGTTTTTAAAGTTAAACAGATATATTCTAGATAGATAAATGGTTTTCAAACACTACAGAGATCTACAGAATTTGGCATTTAAGATGTTTTAGCAACGTAAGGCTTTTCATGATGAGACATATCTGCTCCTGGCAGCACTAATCTGCTTCAGAGAAGATGATGGGCATTGAAGAACCTCCTTATGGAGTTTGCTTTCTTTGTGGCAGAAGTTAGCCACTGGGCAAGAAACTGGACCTTACCTTGACTGCTAACAGTAGGTTGTCCAAATTGGACAGCAGGTCAACTAAAGAAGGCAACTGCCAAACTTTGCCAAGACAAGGCAGGACAGTGCTCCAAAATTCCTGCTTCACAAAAAAGTCTATCAGAGCAGGGCAGTGGTGGCACACACCTTTAATCCCAGCACTGGGAAGGCAGAGCCAGGTGGATCTCTGTGAGTTTGAGGACAGCCTGGTCTACAGAGCAAGATTCCAGACAGGCACCAAAACTACACAGAGAAACCCTGTCTCGAAAAACCAAAAAAAAGTTTGTCAGATATTCTAGGCCTGTAGGCCAAAGATGGATACCCCAATGTTACAGAGGAAACTTGGGTGACTGTGCAGGCAGCCAGCTGTTTCTATAGTTTTGGAAGTTGTTTGCTCTCCACTTCCTGTCTACTCAAGTAATGTAATATCTTTCTTGGGTCTCTGAAGGAGTTGAATACTAGATAGTTATAGTTACAGTTTTCCTTATTACCAAATTCTGAAAAGAAACTCACAAAAGAGGTGTAAATTGTATAAGTTTGAGATATATAAAAGCTTAAATTGTTTATCTAAGAAAATGTTTTAAGGTCTTAAAAATAGTTTTGGGTTGGTAAATACAAGTTATGATAGAAAATGAATTAGGCACAAAACTTTGGACTCACCAAGACAGGATAGCCAAATGCAAATGATCTGGACGTTATAAATGTAATTCTTTTTTTTCTTTTAAGATTTATTTATTTATTATGTATACAGTGTTCTGTCTGCATGTATGACTGCAGGCCAGAAGAGGGCACCAGATCTCATTACAGATGGTTGTGAGCCATGATGTGGTTGCTGGGAATTGAACTCAGGACCTCTGGAAGAGCAGTCAGTGCTCTTAACCTCTGAGCCATCTCTCCAGGCCCTGTAAATATAATTCTTACCTGATAATCGTTCTTATTGTATATAGTTTTTCTGTGACAGAGTTAAAACCTTCCCTTTTTATTTAGACAAAAAGGGGGAAATGTTGTGAAATAATCTTTTTGTACACTGTGAAGTTGTGTCACTCTGATTGGTTTAATAAAAAGCTGAATGACCAATAGCTAGGCAGAATTTCTGGGCAGAGAGAATGCTGGGAAAGAGAAGGCGGAGACACCAGAAGATGCGGGGCAAGCAGGATGGGCAATATGGAGATGAGGTAATAAGCCATGAGGCAGAAAGTAAATTGATAGAAATGGGTTAATTTAAGTTATAAGAGCTAGTTCGAAACAAGCCTAAGCTATCAGTTGAGCTTTCATAATTAAAAAGTCTCCATGTCATTATTGGGGAGCCAATGATCCCAATGATAATTCTGCCTACAGTGGTTGAGAGAGTTTACTCGCATAGGACTGGAGTTCAGTTCCCAGCACTCATATCAGGCTGTTTACAAGCTTCCCATATCTCCAACTCCAAGGGATCTGTTGCCCTCTTCTGGCCTCAACAGACACCTGGACACACACGTACATGTGAACACATATACACACTCCTCTTTGCCTTTCTGAGGAAACATCACCCAAACAGGGAAGCAAGCTAAGAAGGAGGAAGCCATGGTAAAAAGTCCAAGGACAATGCTACTCTGTAGGCAGAATGATCAACAGACCCAGGCCACACAGGAGCAGAGAGGGCTTGGGGGAGAGGATTCCAGCACTGTGCTCACCAGCAGTCAATGGAGTAGCATCTTGGAAGCGATGAACTAAACCCTGTCAGGACTACAGAACAACGCAGGCAAGACCTTGCTCTTCTTAATAACAACTAGTAGTGGTTTTTAAAGATTTTTTTCCATTTATGTGCATGTGAATGTGTGCTTGCCCTTGTGAGAGCAGGTGCCCTCAGAGGTCAGAAGAAGGCATCTGAACCCTGAAATTAAGTTACAGACAGTTGTGAGCTACCTAAATGTGGGTGTTAGGACCTGAACCTTGGCCCTCTGCACCAGTGGCCAGAGTTCTTAACCTCTGCACCATCTCTCCAGCTCACCTCTCCTAAAAAACTTTTTTTAACTTAAATTGGTGAAAACATGAATGCAATGGCATGGGCTGTACTAAGAGTCTGCCTGGTCCCCATACATGATTTTCTTTCTTTCTTTCTTTCTTTCTTTCTTTCTTTCTTTCTTTCTTTCCTTTTTTTTTCCCCCAAGACACGCTTTCTCTGTGTAACAGTCTTGGCTGTCCTGGAACTCCCTCTGTAGACCAGGTTGGCCTTGAACTCACAGAGATCCACCTGTTTCTACCTCCTGAGTGCTGGAATTAAATGTGTGCCACCATGCCTGGCTCCATATATGATTTTCTTGAAGGGTGGTGTAGAAAAGGAAAGCTATTACTGTCCCCATCGCCTGTCATCATAGCTACACAGGACATCAGGACTTAAAATAGATGAGCCTGAAGTCACCATCAGCACTTTGCTTCATTTGGCTAATTTGTGAGTTTGAGGCCAGCCTAGTCTACAGAGTGAGTTCCAGGACAGGCTCCAAAACTACTTTTTAGTTTAGTACGTGAGGTAACTACATATTGCTATGTAGCCATGAATGGCCTTGAACTTCTGATTCTTGTGCTTCCACCTCCAGAGTTCTGCAATGACAGGTGTGTGTTGGGATGACTGACAGGTGTGTTCTGGGATGACAGGTGTGTACTGGGATGACAGACAGGTGTGTGTTGGGATGACAGGTGTGTTCTGGGATGACAGGTGTGTACTGGGATGACAGACAGGTGTGTGTTGGGATGACAGGTGTGTTCTGGGATGACAGGTGTGTCCTGGGATGACAGAGTTCTGCAATGACAGGTGTATGTTGGGATGACTGACAGGTGTGCTCTGGGGTGACAGCTGTGTACTAGGATGACAGGTGTGTTCTGGGATGACAGGCAGGTGTGTTCTGGGATGACAGGTGTGTTCTGGGATGACAGGTGTGTTCTGGGATGACAGGTGTGTACTGGGATGACAGGTGTGTTCTGGGATGACAGACAGGTGTGTTCTGGGATGACAGGTGTGTTCTGGGATGACAGGTGTGTACTGGGATGACTGACAGGTGTGTGTTGGGATATATAATGAATTTAAAAGTAAAAAATCCTGACAACCCATAATGGATATGGTGGACAGACAGACAGACAGACAGACAGACACACACACACACACACACACACACACACACACACACCCCTCAAAAAAAAACTGCACACATATGGAAGCTGTACCACATCCAGGATCCTAATGTGGCAGCTTCCTTCCCACATGCTGAGCTGGGGAAAGCTGGCTCCCAGTGGACTCGAGGCTGAAAAAGTGGGTATTTGGGACTGCTTTTTACAATGAAAAGTGGGACATGTTCAACCACATGGAGAGCTGGGGAGCAGGGGAGCTGTGAGCTCACAGCAGCATTGTGAGCTCACAGCTGAGCTCATAGGCACCTTTTAGACTCAGGGACTCCAGTTGGGACAGAGATGGCCTCCCCTGAACACGATGTTAGTACTTCCTTTGTGATTCTCATTCCCGAAGAGACATCCACCAGACAAAGGAACCGGGTCTCTGCCCTTCTGCAGGAGAGGGCCCGAGCCAGGGCTACATCCTGCTGGAGCTGGGTATGGGGAGAGGATCAGAGAGAGAGACAGAATGATGACGATCAGCCAGAGCTGGATGCCTTCGAAGTCATCAAAGCTGATCCCGGCCAGGTGTTCTGGTCGATTCAGGTGCTGGCACTCACCAGCTCAGAGGTGGCACATGAGGTCGGGGCAGAGGGGTTGGGAGGTCAGGAAGGGAAGGGAGGGCATGCCTTTTGCTATCCTAAAGGGACAATGGAGGGGGTCTGAGGCCTCATTTTCCTCATTGGGAAAGTACTGATCTGTTCTTGTACTCTCGAGACCGTCCAGCTCAGGCCCTTGCTCTGCAGTTAAAGACTTTCTTGTGTTTTTAAATTATCTCTGATATTAACGATGGCTTCCTGGGCCAGCAAGATGGCTCAGTGGGAAAGGTGCTTGCTGCCAACCATGCAGACCTAAATTCTATCCCCTAGACAAAATGACATCCCATGCTTGGCCATCTGCTGTGACCCTGCTCTTACCTATTAGACTCAACCTCCCGGATGCTGCAGGCCAGAGGGCAGCCATTGCTCTGCTTTATCGGTTGTTTCTGAATCAACAAACACAGCCAGTGCGTGGGTCTGGGAGGAGGGAAGGCAGGAAGGCAAGAGGAAGGGGCGAGTGGTTATGTTGGCCCTGACGACTAGTCCATCCCAGGAGCAGGGCCCGGAGTCAGGGTCATAGTCAGCGCAGGCTGCTCTCTGGCTCCTGGACGTGGGCACTTCCTTCTACCTGCTGTGGCTGCCACAGGTCAGAGCTCCAGAGGGAACAAGGTCCTCGGGTGTTCAGGAAGGAGACCCTGCAGCCCCTGCTTTGAGCTTTAGTCCTTCAAAGTGCTAAGTGGCCTGAGGCCTGGGCAGGCCGTGTCTGTACCCCAGTAGCTCCCAGCATGTGCGACTGTCCTGTGACTGCTGCTGTGCTACCCTGCTTGTCCCGTCATGTCATGTCCATGGCAGCGAGGCGCCTCATGGTCTTCTAACTGCCCCCCCCTCTGTTCTGTGACAGGTGCCCACAGACCGAGCTGCTCCTGCACCGCCAACTGCTGCTGATGACACTCTGTTTCTTGGTGTTGTCCCTTCCCCCGATGCTGACCTCACTAGCATGGCATCACCTCAGGTTTGTGCTTTTTCCCTTTCGCATGCTACGCTCCTGTCTGCTTGCCAAAGGACTTTACCGTCTCTGAACTCTCCTCTCTCTTCAGGTAGCTTGGTCCAGGGGCTGCTCCTGGAGCCTGGTGTGGGGAGGCCAAGCTGGGGAGGCTTGGGGAGATGGGTGTTGATGAGCTTGGCCCACCCTGCCCCTGTGTGATGACGAGCAGAAGCTGAATAGTGACCTGGTTTGTTTCTACCCATACAGAGCCATGACGCTGGCAATTGCTCTGACCTCATGGAGGAGACGAAGTAAGCGTTCCCTACTGAGGGAGTCAGGGCAGGTCTCTGCACACGAGCCGGGTTCCCTTCAGACCACCTGCACCCCTGACCCCATGTCTCCTTCCTTAGGACTTTCTCGTCAACTGAGAGTCTGCGACAACTTTCTCAACAGCTCAATGGTCTTGTGTCTGAGGTACCGCAGGACTGGGGTCCGGAAAGAAGGTAGAGGGAAAGGAAAGCATGGTAGAAGCTGAGGCAGGGGTTCTCAGGAGACTGACTCAAGACAGGATCCTGTCAGACTCAAAGAAGACAGATATGGACCCTGATGGGTGCCGTGGTTTTATCCTGGTAGAGAAAGTGCGGGATGACAGCTGTTGAGGGGCGGGCCTGAGCCATGGTGGGATAAGAACCATGACCATGACGAGTAGCACAGAGATGGTGTGAGAGGAGAGGCCCGAGGTAGGCAGGAAAGCAGATTCTGCCAGTTGAGGGGAAGTAAGGAGGCTGAAGGGATTCCACATTGAAGGTGGCGGAGCATCTCCATATGAGATGTTGTCTCTCCTAGTCTACCTCCTACATCAACGGGGAGGGCCTCACATCTTCCAACATGAAGGCCTGGACCATGGGATACATGAGACCCTGTCTCCAAAATATGTCATGGGAGTGGTGCTAAGAATGTAGCTCGGTGGCTACATTGTTGTCTACTGGACACAAGGCTCTGGGTTCAATTCCCAGCACCAAAACAGAAAAAGAGATGTCATTTTATTTCAAGAGTATGAGATACCTAGGGAACATCCAGTGGGGAGAAACACTGATGTCTGTACAGTAGGAAGTCAGACAGACAGCAGTGCTGTGGACAGTCTCGGCTGGAGACAGTATGTACAGAAGCCAGAGACAGGATCCCCTGGACCCAAGACACAGGGATTCCATTTAGGCGAAAAGTGAGTGGAGTAATGACAGGCAGGCTGGTCCATTCAGACCCTTGGAATGAGACAAGAGCCTCACCCAATTACATCCTAGCGAGGTTCTGTGTTTACATCAAGTAAGTACCAAGTGTGCTGAAGGAAAACATCTCTAGTTCTGTGTGAGAACAGCTTTCTCTTCTGCCATGGCAGGCACTAGCCTCAAGGGGGCAGTGTCCACTCAGAGATGTGCCCAACAGCTGGACAGCACCCCTTCTGTGGGCCCCCTGGGTTGGGTAGATGCAGGCCTGCCAGGCTAGTGGCCACAAGCTGGATCTCTCAGCTTCCCTTCCAGGAGTCTGAAGAGACCAGTAACAAGAAATAAGGAGCCAGCTGGTTGGAAACTAGAGGCTGATGGATAAGGCATGTACACACAGACACCGCTTCATTATATCTAGTGTAAAACCTGCTTGAAAATATTTCAGAGCCAAGTATGGTGGCTCACACCGGTAATTCTAACTCCAGAAGCTGAGGCAGGAAGAACAAGACCTGCCCTCCTTACATATCAAGGCCCTGTCCAAAAATAAAAATAAAAATTATCCCAGCTGAGTGCTAAGCAAGGTTGATTGCTTCAGCCCAGAGATCAAGACCAGCCTAGATAGTGTGTAGAGAACTTATCTCAAAACATAATAGTTGGGCTGGTGTTCAGTCCAAAGCCTGCAGCCCAGCATCCCCCTAAGGGACTGGAGAGATGGCTTAGTGGTTAAGAACACTTGCTGCACTTTTAGAGAAGCAGGGTTCAGCTCTCAGCATCCGTAGCCTCCATCCAGTGGTAACTCCAGCTCCAAGGAATTTGTCATCCTCTTTTGGCCTCTGTGAGCACTGAACTCATGTATACAAACCCATATATACATTTTTTAATTAAATTTTTCTTTAAATATGAACATTTTTATATGTCTCATCCTGAACCTATAGAGCTCAAAACAAAAGTGTAACATAATCTCCACTTATCCCAGATGACCAGAAGGTGTCATTTCTGAGTGTCATGGGGTGGGACCATCAAATCTCACCCTATGCAGCCTTTCTCACCAGAGAGGCACACTCCAGTGACAGAAGTGGGCCGGGCCAGGCACCCAGTGTCTTGTAGTGAGGAGGAGGTGGAGCCTCCAAGCCTGATCACTGGAGGCATGGTGAGGAAAGGTCCTTGCCAGGTAGGCGAAGGAAGAGGTGAAGGGTGACAGTCACTCACCCAAATCAGTTACAAGCTGAAGGTTCCATCAGACAACGGTTGAGAACTGCAATAACCAACATTTGCACAACTCTGTGGCTCACCTGGCTCTGCATCTCACCTGAGGCATCTCACTGGCCCGACAGTGGCGTAAGATCCTGTGGAGCACCCCATTCCCAGACTGAGCCAGCTGAGGTGCAGAGCGTGACATCTGATGTGTAGCTATCTGACTCCAGAGCTGCCTCCCCAGCAGAGGTCAGCCTTAAAAAAGAATAGCTGGCAGTGGTGGCGCACACCTTTAATCCCAGCACTCGGGAGGCAGAGGCAGGTGGGTCTCTGTGAGTTCTAGGTGAGCCTGGTCTACATAGCAGGAGAGCCAGGGCTACATAGCAAGACCCTTTATTTGGAATAGGGTATCTTGAGATAGGTTGGGTTTTTTTTTTTTTGGTTTTTGGTTTTTGGTTTTTTGGTTTTTTGAGACAGAGTTTCTCTGTGTAGCTTTGGAACCTTTCCTGGAACTCACTCTGTAGCCCAGGCTAGCCTCAAACTCACAGAGATCCTCCTGGCTCTGCCTCTTGAGTGCTGGGATTAAAGGAGTGCACCATCACCGTCTAGCTGAGATAGGTTTTATGTAGCCCAGGATGTCCTTGAACTTTTTTCTCCATCTCCCAAGTCCTAGAACCACGACCAGATGCCTAGCTCACTTCTAAGGGAGGGAGGTGAGGAGGGAGGGAGGTGAGGAGGGAGGGAGGTGAGGAGGGAGGGAGGTGAGGAGGGAGGGAGGTGAGGAGGGAGGGAGGTGAGGAGGGAGGGAGGTGAGGAGGGAGGGAGGTGAGGAGGGAGGGAGGTGAGGAGGGAGGATGCACAACTTCTCTGGCCCCTTAGGTGTGAGGTCTTAGTGGAAAACCTCTGCCATGCTTCTTAGATGCTGTGTCTGGGGCTGGAGAGATGGCTCAGCAGTTAAGAGCACTGGCTGCTGCAGAGGGTCCAGCCCCCTGCAGGTCAGAGATGCAGAGTCCAGCGAGAAAAACACACAGACTTCCGAGGGATAAAAGCTTCTTTTTCTTTTTATTACTCTTTCTGTTGCCTGTTCTACTCTGTTCTTTCTCTGTTCTGTTCTTCTGCCCTGATGCTTCCCTTCTTCTTCTTTCCTGACAACTCCTTCTCACTCCTTCCTGATGTCTTCCTTCTCACGTTTTTATTTTTTCCCTTACAGCTTATCTTTTAAGCAAAGAAAAATTACAATGTGGTTACATTGTATTTTAAGTGAATGATTACAATGAATACAAGTAAAAAAAAAAACATGTTTCCCATTTCCCTTACATGATTAAACTTTTTTTTTTTTTTTTTTTTTTTTTTTTTTTTGGTTTTTCGAGACAGGATTTCTCTGTGTAGCTTTGCGCCTTTCCTGGAACTCACTTGGTAGCCCAGGCTGGCCTCGAACTCACAAAGATCCACCTGCCTCTGCCTCCCGAGTGCTGGGATTAAAGGCGTGCGCCGCCGCCGCCGCCACCGCCACCACCACACGGCTATACATTTTACATATTATAGATGAAAAACAAATTATCCCCAATAACCCACATACATTCATGTCCAAGCAACTTGTTATGGATTAACAGAGTGTAAGCAAGCAAGGTATTTTTCTCAGCCAGGTCTTTTACTGGCAGGCTGCATTTTGCAGTTACAAAGAAAGGATCAATCACTTTATTATTTATCTCAAAAGGTAATCTTATAAAAATCTTAAAAGAATCGTAAATTGAAAGTTTTGTAAACAATCAGTCGGCTCTACTTTAAATCCACAGGGTAGACACCCACTCACCCACAGTTTCTTATATCAGGAGGCTGAGGGCAGAAATAGGTTCAAGGAACTAATCATCACCTTTGATCACCAACTCATCCTAGCAAGAGAGATACCTCAGCCAGCAATAGCCAGGGTGCCACTGTTTTTGATCCCTGACCTCAAGAGTCCCTCACTCAACTATTAAAAATGTGCCTTTTTGGGGGCTGGAGAGATGGCTCAGAGGTTAAGAGCACTGACTGCTCTTCCAGAGGTCCTGAGTTCAATTCCCAGCAACCACATGGTGGCTCACAACCATCTGTAATGAGATCTGGTGCCCTCTTCTGGCCTGCAGTCATACATGCTGTATACATAATAAATAAATAAATCTTAAAAAAAAAAAATGTGCCTTTTAAACTTTAAATTGTTTCCCAAGATTTTCTACCTCAAAGCTATTAACAAAAACATCTTAACCTAACCTTAAGTCATTGTTTAAAGCTTTGTTTTAGCTGTGATGGACCGAAACCCGTGAACACACCTCCCAACATTAATATTAAAAGAACTTGAGCTAGCCTAGCTTCTGGGACTCAGCTGTTTTCCTTAATCATTAACCTAAGCCACAGTCTATAGGCTCCTGAAGAGAAACTCAAGCCCTAGCTGTGTGACACTTCTTTGTCCTTATTTTCTGTCCTCTGCAGCCCCTGCCTTATCAGAGGCAGAGGCAACACTATATCCTGCCTTTATCTGTATTAATTTCCCCACTAAACCAACCTCTATCAACAATCCCTTACTACATTTGTTAAAAACCCTTAATCATTAAAGTTCTATTTAAACTAACACTATTGTATAAAATTATTGCTTTGATTAAACAGTACAGTTTAAGAGGAAATCATCTTCATAATCACAAAAATGTCCAGTAAAATGGGATACTCCCATGAGATAATCACACTACATTAAAGGCAATGGGGATCCCTCCACATCCATCCACACCATGCCAGATACCAGAGAAAAATGGCAGCAGCAAACATGTAAAGGTAGAGTAGCAGCAAGAGACGTTCTGGAGCCAAAGCCCTCAGGGCCTTGCCTACCGAGAGACTCACCTCTGAACTTTGCCTCCTGGTGGGCTGATCTCCTGAAGCTCAACTGCCACCTGCTGCCCTTCTGACATGGCCACTGGCGATACGCTATGGCTGCTCTTACAGGGTACTGAGTTTGATTCCCAGCACACACATGGCGGCTCACAACTGCTGATAACTCCACCTCTAGGGTGTAAACCTCTAGTGTCTATACATGCTCTCACACAGACAAGCCTCCACACACACACCACAATTTTTTTGAAGATTCATTTTGTAGTAGTGTGTGCGTGCGCGCGTGGTATGAATGTACGCCGTGTGTATGTAGGTACTTGTGGAGGCCAGAGGTTGGCATTCATAGGGCACGTGCACTGCCACACTGGCTTTTCCATGAGTGCTAGGAATCTGAACTCAGGCTTGTAGAGCAAACACCTTACCTACTGAGCCATGCTCCCAGTTTCAGGGCTTTCCACGTGCTAGGCAAACATTTTATTGCTGAGGTACCATCCCAGGTTTCTTTTTCATTTTCACTTTGAGAGAGCGTCTTGCCAAGTTGCCAAAGCAGGTCTTGAACTCACCCTGTAACCCAGGCTGGCCTTGAATGTGTGATCCTCCTGCCTCAGCCTCGTACAGGCCTATT